ACTCAGCTGAGCTCACGGATGACTTCGACGAGCTGCACGATCGCCAAGTGGTCGAGGACGCTCACGACATGACGGACACCTGCAACCGCAAGCTGGTCTGGGTGAAAGATTGCCCCCGTCACCGCCGACTCTCGGGCCGCCAGACTTTGGAAGGGGCCAGGCGCGGTGGCGGTGGCGACGTCGGCGGTGGTCTGTCTTCGTCCTGTGGCACAGAGCGCACTCGTGGGCGGACGGAGCCTGCGGGCGACGATGTGCATGACCGCGACCCGCCTGGCAAGAAGCTCAAGGGCAGCAAGAGTGGTGCTGCTGGTGCTGCGCTTCCAGACGACGGCGAGGGGAAGACCGAGGGCGTCAAGTTCCTCGAGCAACGCCAGTCCCTCGTCCAGACCTTGACGGCCATGGCAGCTCAGCTCGGGAGCTCCAAGGTGGGGAGGATCCAATCGCACCTCCATCTGGAGACATTCCTCAAACTCCTCCTCCACCTCCTCCCCTTCCCTCTCGCCCACTCCGCCTCCACCTCCTGGCCCTCCCGAGGCCCACTCCGCCTCCACCTCCTAGCCCTCCTCCTACTCCTCCTTGCGCTCCTCGCGGTTGGATCCACCCCGAAGGGGGTGAAGTCCAGCGTGCAGGGGGTGGTCATCGAGATCCAGAAGAAGAACATCGACGGCGACCTGCTCCCTTTGCAGCCCGCGGCCTTGGAGGGGGGCATCAGCGCGGCCCTCGATGACATCAAGAAGCAGCTGGACAACGCCAAAAAGGTCAAGCCTCACGAGATCAGCGGGTGCATGGACAGCGTGGCGGCGCTGCAGGCACAGCTGAAAGACCTCGCCAAGAGGAGGGGCGAGCTCAGGTCGGCCGTGAACTTCTGCGTGAAGGAGGTCCGCGATAAGGAGCGCGCGGACGGTCAGAAGGTTTACTGGGCCAAGTACTCCATCGAGAAGCGCCTGATCAACGGTGGCTTCGGCAAGCTGCACGGCAAGAAGTTGAGCCAGGTGATCTACGCGCTGCAGGGCGCCGAGGGTGACGCCGTCGCCCAATACCCTGGGATTGAGGACGACGGCCGCCAGACCTTCATGTCGTTGGAGATCGGGAAGCCGCAGGGGGAAGTCGACTTGGAGAAGTTCGGGTTTTGGCCCACTGGGCGCGAGACCATCGCAGAGCTCGCCAAGATCTACGGCGACAGCCAGGTGGTCAAAGACAAGATTGCAGCGATGCAGGCTGCGCTGACCAGCAATCCATCGTGGGCAGGGGCCGTCGTGAACATCGAGGGGCTGACTGACGCCGAGGAGCTCAAACGCATCTTCGGCCAGGTCGGCACAGGAGACGGATGCGAGCCCTGGCTGCTCTCAGGCCGCATGGGCTGCTGCCGTCATGGGCCCTCCGCCTTCGCGCTGCCGGGCGTCGCGTCCATGGTCTATACAACAGAGAAGCCGGTTCATTTCCAGTTGTCCGAGGTTGGCCCCATCCTCGAGAAAGGCTTCTGCATCAAGGAGTATGCGAAGTACTTGGAGTCAAGTGATGGCCAGAGTTTCCTCGATGCGAATGCGTGGGCGGTTCGCCTGCAGCCCTTCTCGTTCTTCTACATGCCTGACGGTTTCATTGTGCTGTGGGTGTACTACGCAGATGATAGGAAGGACTCCATGCCAGATGGCGGCGCCGAGCCCAATCCGACAGGCAAGAAGGCCAAAGCAAAAGTCAAGGCTTCCGACAAAGCCGCCGACGCTGCCTTTCTCGTCTCGGTGCCTGTGTTCACGGACGCGTCCAAGCAGCTCCAGCCAAAGGTTCGCAAGGCCATTCACTCGTACAACATGGAGGTGATCAAGAGCAAGGGCAAGGATCCCAAGTGGGAGAACCGCGGCATGAAGCTGGACGAGTACTTCAAAGATGCATCGTGAGATTGAGTAAAAAAATGGTTGAGAGACCCCGACTGCTGCCGCTGCCACCCTGGCCGCCAGACCCGCCATTTTTGTGTTGAGCGATGCCCCTGGATGTGTGTTTGCTGTGCGACGGCATGGCAGAGTAAGAGTCCCGTGGCAGGTTGATCGTACTGTGCAAGTTGCTGCTCAGACGTGATGGAAACCAGCTGGTTACTTCTGAACGTTGATTTCGGATCGACTCAAAATCGAGTTTCAGGCCGCCTGAGAAATGAGTTGTGGTCCGAACCAATTGCGAGTCACGGTGGCACGAAGCTTATCGAACACATTCCCAAATAAACGACACACTTGAATACACGACTGTCGGAAAAACAGTTAAATAAACTTAGGCACACAAGCACCAACACACTAACAGTTCCAAACACATACACACTTAAATGCACGTAGTTAGAAACAAACAAAACGGTACAGGAGGATGAGGAGTAGGAACAAACCAAAAAGGATGACCACTGACCACGGAGAGAAACCGCGAGAGGATTAAAACAAGGGGTAGGACGAGGTCCAGGACAACAGCAACGATGAGGAGGGCTACAAGGAGGCAGGGAAAGGAAAACTAGGAATAGGAATAGGAAAACTACGAAGTAGGAGGAACGAGAAGAGGAGGAGGGCGCCTCCCCTGCCGCCCCCGCCGCCCCTGGCGGGCTTCGTGGTCGGCGGAGGCGCGCTGGCCCCGCTGGCCGCCGCCGCCGCCGCCGCCGTCGGAATCGTCATCGTCGCGGTGTCGTCCGAACTTTTTCCCGCTCTCTGCTCTCTCCTCCTGCCCCCCTGCCCCTCCTCCTCCCTTCTCCCTTGTCCTACCGCTCCTGCTCCTCAACATCCTCCTCCGTCTCCTTTCCTCTTCCCTCCTCCCCCTCATCTCTCTCTCTCTCTCTCTCTCCGCCTTCTTCCACTCGCGTTGCTGTGGTATGTTTCTGCTGCCATACCTTCGTCTATGGACCCCGTTCCACTTCCCGAGTCCCCTGTCCTCCCGTTGCTCCCCCCTCCGCCTTCTCGTCCTGCTCCGTTTCCTCCTCTTCGTCCTATCCTTCCTCGTCCTCGCTTCTTGTCGGGGTGATCGTCGTCGGCATCGTCGCCCCCCTTCCTGCATAATAGAACGGGTGTGGGGCTGTAGTTTCACAGCGTAGGGATTGGAGGGCAGGCGGACCGCGCGGGATGATGATGACGACAGCCCCCCGACGCGACACACAGAAAACCGAGAGCCACAATTTGAAAACGAACCGCCAGTGCATGATATTCACGTGTAACCGCTTGCACGACCGATGTTCAACGATGCACAACGCTTGCGTTTAAACCGAAGGACGCAAAACCGAACACACAAGCAAAGCGTGCATATTTGCTTCGGATTGCAACGGAACTTGCAGAAAAATCAGCGCTTGCGAAACAATCCTTAGAAAAATAAGCTCTTGCGAAAAATCCTTAGAACAATCAGCTCTTGCGGCCCCTTTCCTTATCCACGCCTTGAATTGTAGCCACTTCCTGGTCTTTCGGCACCTAACCACCGACCACAAATGTGCCCGGGGGGCCCGGAGGCTCGTCGGGGCTTGCCGGAGGCCTCCCCAGTCAGACAAGACGGCCCAAGAACCGTCCAAGACGGCCCAAGAAACTTCCAAGAGGCCTCCAAGAGGGCTCCGAGATGCTGAAGATGGCCTCCAGACGTCCAAGGACGCCCCCAAGAGACCCCAAGAAGCCTCCAACATGCGCCCCAAGAGGGCCCCCAGACGCAAAAATTGGCCCATTCCTTTCGTAAAACGTACATTTTCAACAAAGTTGTCTTTTGGGCTTTCCGACGTTACAGGACGGCCCAAGAGGCGCCCAAGACCGCCCCAAGACGGCCCAAGAAGCTTCCCAGAGGGCCCCAGGACAGCCCAAGAGGGCCCCAAGACGGCCCAAGAGGCGCCCAAGATGGCCCAAGAGGGCCCCAAGACGGGCCCAAGAGGGGGCCCAGAGGGGGACCACGAACCGCAAGCTCGAGCCTTCCGCCCCAAGAGGCCGCCAGGAGGCCCCCAGGAGGCCCCTCAAGAGGCCCCAGGAGACCCCAGACGTCCAAGGACGCCCCCAAGAGGCTCCAAGAAGCCTCCAACATGCGTCCCAAGAGGGCCCCTAGACGCAAGAATTGGCCCATTCCCTTCGTAAAACGTACATTTTCAACAAAGTCGCCTTTTGGGCTTTCCGACGTTACAGGACGGCCCAAGAGGCGCCCAAGACCGCCCCAAGACGGCCCAAGAAGCTTCCCAGAGGGCCCCAGGACAGCCCAAGAGGGCCCCAAGACGGCCCAAGAGGCGCCCAAGATGGCCCAAGAGGGCCCCAAGACGGGCCCAAGAGGGGGCCCAGAGGGGGACCACGAACCGCAAGCTCGAGCCTTCCGCCCCAAGAGGCCGCCAGGAGGCCCCCAGGAGGCCCCTCAAGAGGCCCCAGGAGACCCCAGACGTCCAAGGACGCCCCCAAGAGGCCCCAAGAAGCCTCCAACATGCGTCCCAAGAGGGCCCCTAGACGCAAAAATTGGCCCATTCCCTTCGTAAAACGTACATTTTCAACAAAGTTGTCTTTTGGGTTTTCCGACGTTACAGGACGGCCCAAGAGGCGCCCAAGACCGCCCCAAGACGGCCCAAGAAGCTTCCAAGAGGGCCCCAGGACAGCCCAAGAGGGCCCCAAGACGGCCCAAGAGGCGCCCAAGATGGCCCAAGAGGGCCCCAAGACGGGCCCAAGAGGGGGCCCAGAGGGGGACCACGAACCGCAAGCTCGAGCCTTCCGCCCCAAGAGGCCGCCAGGAGGCCCCAAGGAGGCCCCTCAAGAGGCCCCAGGAGACCCCAGACGTCCAAGGACGCCCCCAAGACGCTTCGCGTCACCAATTTCTTCTCGCAGCGATTCCTGGGTCTGTGACTCGACAGAACCTAAGCGCGCGCGAAGCGCGCGCGTGGTTCTAGTATATATATATATATATATATATATATATATATATATATATATGGCCGCCTCTGGCGCCTGAGGCGCCGGGAAAATCAGCTACGCGAGCTGATTCTCAAACCCCCTCTTTGCTATGCCCCGCTCTTTCGCCCGGCCCGAGAGGCGCTGACGGGCCTGGAGCCCTGGCTGGGCATGCTGCTGGCCCTCGGGCTCATGTGGCTGGTCACCGACGCGATGAGCAGAGAGAACGAGGAGCTGCGCGGCGTCTCCAGAGGTGTCGCCCGGGGGGTCGAGCTCCGGGGGCGTCGGCCAGAGGTGGATCTGGTTGAGTCGGTCCTGTCCCTCTACGGGGGGCATATTCCAAGCTGTCCTGGCGAGGGACCCAACCATATGCAGTTGTCAGTAACTCAATTGGTGGTATCCTCTTGGGTGGGTTTCGAGCGCAGCCACTGGGGCCTTCGGTGGAGCTCCCTATGGGGCCACGATTCGTGTGGCGGGTGTGCCGAAAGACACGCGGAGGTCAGAGGCAGGGATGGGAGAAGAGGCACGGATGGGAGATGAGGGGGGAGGGGGCAGCGGGAGTAGTGAGACGCGGGGCGCTGTCTCTTCAAGACGAGGCTCAACACCACATAATAGTTGGGAAACAGTGAGAAAATAGTCAGGGTACGATGTTTGATCATGCATTGTTTTTTGAACACATTTTGATTTTTTGCCATTTTTCCTTCAAAACCTGCCTGTAGGAGGACATGCCAGACCCAAGGATATGGAGATTTTGTCCACGCTTCGCGGGTCGCCACCGGCCCACGCGGAAGCCGTGCCCACGAGAGTCGACGGGAGAAGGGGGGCGACGAGGCGCGTGTCGTGAGCCAAAGCTGTGCGCAGCACTTATGTCCACATCCAGCGCGTCGTGGAGTTCTGGGCTCGCTTTCCCAGAGCACGGAGGCGCACTGGAGATGGATAAGCATCTGGCCCCCGAAGCCAAAAGGCCAGATTTTCATCCACGTCCAGTGCGCCTCGGCCTTGTGGCACCCCTTCCCAAAAAGTCTACGACGCTCTGGATATGGATATAAGTATTGCCCGCGCAAAGCGGGCAATCAGGGTGAACAGAGAGATCTCTGGAACCAAGGGGGCGGCCTCGGAGGGCTTCTTGGGGCCATCCCTAGGGCCCGCGCGAGGGCGAGGGAAGGAGGATGAAGAATGAGGAGGAGGCGGAGGAGGAGGAGGAGGAGGATGAGGAAGAGGAGGAGAAAGACAGCGACGACGACTACGACGACGAGGAAGAGGAGGAAAAGGGCAAGGAAAAGGAAGGCGATGATGGCAACGACGAGGACGAGGAGGAGGAGAAGGAGGAGGAGGAGGAGGACAACAAGGACGAGGACAGAGCCCTCAGCATCGCTTCTTGGAGCCCTATTTGGACTCTTGTGGCGAATCTTGGGGTTCTCTTGGAGCCCTTTTGCGGGTCTCTTGGTGGCCTCTTTGGGCCATCTTGGATGCCATCAATCAAAAAGGGGTGGCCTTAATGTTACCCCACCCCCCCCAGGGACCAAAATCATGTCTTGGGGCTCTCTTGGTACCCTCTTTGGCCGCTCTTGGGCGCTCTTGGGGCAGTCTGGGGAGCCTCTTGGGCCCCTCTTGGGCTTGTCTTTGGCCATCTTGGGGTCATTTCGGCATCAAAAACGCATCGGAAGCGACACGACGAGAAGGCACGGATCATTGATGTCTTTCAGGTGTTGAAAGGTTTTTGGCCTCTTGGGGGGGTCTAGAGGGGGCTCTGAGAGCACTTGACGCCATCTTGTGGCCCTCGTCCGGCCTCTGGGAGGTATGTCGGAAGCTACCTTGAACCATCATCGGCTATCTTGAGCGATCTTGGAGGCCATCTTGGAACATCGGGCGCACTCTTGGGGCCATCTTGGGCCATCTTGGACGCCCTGACACTCCGAAACCTCAGGGAGGGGGGGAGGTCAACCTACCAGAAAGAAAGAGGAGCTTGGAAGAGGAAAGGATAAATCGTTCCTCTCCCCAAGCGCTGGTGGGATTTGGGCCCTGGAGATTGTTTTCTATCCTTTGGCGCGTGATGGTCGTTACTCGCCCCCCCACCACACCCCAGGGGTAACGGTAACGATCTTACGGGGGGGAGGCGGGGCTGCTGCTCGCGTACAGATTCTGGCGATCGCAGCGCGTCGCGCACCCCCGCCCTGACGTGCTCCCACCCCGTCCAAGCGTTACCACTACGACCTGGGGCCCCACCCTTTGGGTAACGGCCGATACTGGACACAATGGAAGGCAATCTCCAAGCTTAAGCAATCGTTTGCATAGCGGGGCGAAAGTCTGCGCTGGCTGATCAGGACGGGGGGGGGGAGGATGAGGAGGAGGATGAGGAGGAGGAGCAGGAGGAGGGAGAGGAGGAGGAGGAGGAGCAGGAGGAGGAGGGGGAGGAGGAAGATGAGCAGGAGGAGGAGGAGAGGAGAAGGAGGAGGAAGAAGAAGAAGAGACCGTGGCGGTGGTGATGGGCAACTCCCAGAGGACCTGCCCTTCAAGCCCGCTGGGCCGCCGCAGCACGGGGTCGTGGAGGCCCTGCGGAAGGTGGACCTCATGGGCCTGCTCTTCTTCGCGGGCGTGCTGCTGGCCGTCGGCTGCCTGAACGCGGCGGGCGTGCTGCAGAGGTTCGCGCGGCAGCTCGCGGGCTGGTGCTCGGAGAGGAGGAGGAGGAGGAGGAGGAGGAGGAGGAGGAGAGGAGGAGGAGGAGGAGGAGGAGGGAGGAGGAGGAGGAGGAGGAGGGGGGAGGGGGAGGAGGAGGGGGAGGAGGAGGAGAAGGAGGAGGAGGAGGAGGAGGAACAGGAGGAGGAGGAGGAGGAGGGAAAGGAATGGTACCAGTGCCGCTGCCCTCCCGTCGTTGCCGCCTTGTCGGGCCTCCCGGGAGGCCCCCCTGGCCACGGCTGGGTTCTCTGGGTATCCTTTGGTTTCCCCAGGTGCGGCGGCAGCGACGTCATGCTGGCCTCGCTGCTGGGGATCTCCTCGGCCATCGTCGACAACGTACCGCTGGTGGCCGCGTCGATCGAGATGTTCGACGACGTGCCCGTGGACGACAAGCTGTGGCAGCTGATCGCCCTCGCGTCCAGCACGGGGGGGTCCCTGACCAGCGTCGGCAGCATCGCCGGGGTGACCTTCATGAACATGGAGGGCATCAGCTTCGTGTGGTACATCAAGTGCCCCCCCCCGCCCCCCCCGATGCTGCCCGAAGCCTTCCCGGAGGCCGCAGGCGTCGTGACCGTGCTCTTCGTGCTCGCCGCCGTCGTCGGGCTTCTCGTGCTTCCTCGCCCTCGCTTTCGGTCGTCGTCGTCGTCGTCGTCGTCGTCGTCGTCGTCGTCGTTGTTCTCGTCGCCGCCGGCCCCCTCGCTGCCCTCGCCGCCGCGAGGTACGTGACCGTCTGGGCCGGCGTCGGCTTTGTGGCGGGCATCGTGGCCTACCAGGCCCAGCTTGCGCTGTTCGGCAGCCCCACCTGACGCGGGCTCCGCGGCCGCGCCGCCCGGGCGCCGCCCGCGGGGGGCAGAGGGGCAGCTGGGAGGCCCTGCCTCCTCGCCTCCCCATCTCCGGGTCCCCCCGTCGCCCCATCCCCCCATCTCCTTTCCCTCCCCCTCCCCCTCCCCCCCCCCCCTCCCCTCCCCCTCCTCTCCCCTCTCTCCCTCCTTCCCCCCCCTCCCCCTCCCTCCCTCTCCACCCCCTCCCCTCCCCCTCCCCTCCTCCCTCCCTCCCTCCCTCCCTACCACCCCCCCTCCTCCCCCTCCCCTCCCGCTCCCCCTCCCCCCACATCTCTCTTCCTCTCCCCCCCCACTCCTCTGGAAGATTTTTGTTTGATGACTTTCTTGCAGTAGTTGTGTTAGTTGTCTCTTGTCTTAAAACAGATCTTACTAAGGGTTTAGTTCGATCATTCTGAATGTTCTTAGAAACGCATTGGGTTTTAGAGATTTGTTCCTGGGTCCGCCGAGTGAGACATCCTCAGAGTTGTCTGGTAGCCTGGTTGGTCGGGGGGCGGGTTGGTTGGTTGTGTGCCCGATTGGTTGGTTGACTGGTTGATTGGTCGGTTGGTTGGCCGGCTGCTTGGTCGGTCCGTTGGTTGTTTGGCTGGTTGGTTGGTGGGTTGATATGCCAGCGAAGTGGTTTGTTAGTTTGTTGGCTATTTGGTTCGCTGGGTCGGTTGGTAGCGGGATTGGATAGTTGGTCGGTCGGCCGGTTGGTATGGCATTCAACCTAACACGACCATCTAAACCCCAACCCTAGCACTGCCACTTGACCCACATCCCGAACAACCTATCCTACTGAGCGCACACCCTAATCAGAAATCCTACCACCCTAAACCATTACACGCTGACTCCCAAACCCTAACCCTTACAACAAGCATCCAACCTGAGGCAGACACCCGATGCTCAGCCTTGACACCCTTATCTCGTAACTCGAACCCGAAGCACAAACTGTAACCGTGAGTTTGAAACAGTACATACTACTATACTATATCCGCCGCGTGACAGCGCAGGGGAGCGAAACACATACACCTTTGCGCTGCACGTCCCGTGGCAACGGAGGAGCGGAAAACATACTATTGCAGGCCGCGCTGACGCGCGGGAATTTCTGGGCGAGTCGGTGACTCGGGCGGGCGCGGTATCATGGCGACGTCGACAATTGCAGAAACGATGGTGATTGTATTGGTGCTGGTGTGACAACGATGGCGATGACGATGACGACGGCAAGACCAATGACGGCGCCATGCTGATCACGCCGATAACGATACTGGTGTCCACGCGTTGGTGATGAAGGTTTGTTTTGGACGGATTTCGACATGCGCGCGTGCGGCCGTCGGGCGCGAGTGGCCCGCATAGTACCATTTGACATGGATCCCCCACCCGCCCCCCCGCCCCCCCACGCGCGCAAGGGCGTTCACGTGATATCGGCATGCGGGCTCGAGTGGCCGTTCTGGTCGCATTGGATGAATACGTTGAAGAACCCAATGCTTCCCCAGAGATCGCAAGTGCGCGCGCGCAGATTTGGTTCTTCGCAAGAGCGCGTTCTGTGGTCGCTTGGAAGGGGTGGGGGGTTTGGAACTGGACCTCCCCCCCCTTGGATGAAGGGGGGGGGTTCGAACCCCCTCCCCCCTCCCGTGACAGGGGAGGGGGGTTCGAACCCCCCCCCCTTCCTCCCCTACTTCTCTTCTCTCCCTCTCCTCGGGCCAGTGCCTGCGTCGGCCGCGGCTGGCGGCGGCGGCGGCGGGGACGACGATTGCCTTTTCTGGGCCGGCGCCGGCGCCTGTGGTGGCGGGCGGCGGCGGCGTGGAGCGTCGACGAGGACGACGGTGGTGGTGGTGGTGGGTTGTGGTGGTGGCTTGTTGTGGTGGTGGTGGCGGTGGTGGTGGTTGTGGTGGTGGTGTTGTGGTGGTTTGTTGTGGTGGTGGTGGTGGTGGGTGGTGGTGGTGGTGGTTTGTGGTGGTGGTTGGTGGTGGTGGTGTGTTGTGGTCGTGGTGGTGGTGGTTTGGTGGTGGTGTGGTGGTGGTTTGTGGTGGTGGTGGTTGTGGTGGTGGGTGGTGGTGGTGGTGGAATGTGGTGGTGGCGGTGGTTTGTGGAGGTGGTGCTGGTGCTGGTGGTGGTGGCGCTGGTGGTGGTGGTGGTGGTGTGGTGGTTTGTGGTGGTGGTGGTGGGTTGTGGTCGTGGTGGTGGTGGTGGTTTGGTGGTGGTGGTTGTGGTGGTTTGTGGTGGTGGTGGTGGTGGTGGAATGTGGTGGGTGGCGGTGGTTTGTCGAGGTGGTGCTGGTGGCGGTGTTGGTGGCGCTGGTGGTGGTGGTGGTGTGGTGGTTTGTGGTGGTGGTGGTGGTTTGTGGTGGATTTTGCTGCTGGTAGTGGTGGTGGTTGTGGCGGTGGTGGTGGTGGTGGTGGCGTGGTAGATTGTGTTGTTGTTGGTGGTGGTGGTGGTACTGGTGGTGGGTTTTGTGGTGGTGGTGGTGGTGGTGAGTTGTGGTGGTGGTGGTGGTGGTGGTGGTGGTGGTTGTGGTGGTGGTGATGGCTGTGGTGGTGGTGGTGGTGGTGGTTGTGTGGTGGGTTGGTGGTGGTGGTGGTGGGTTGAGGCGGTGGTTATCGTCGCTGCGTCGCCGTCGCTTCTGGCCGCCGCCAGCGCCGACGCTGGCGCCAGGGAGGGGGGGGGGGTTGGAACCCCCTCTCCCTTCCCTCGGCGCCAGGGGGGCGGGGGGTTTGAACCGCCGCCCCCCCCCCATTTGGGCTGCCCCTCGGCGCCAGGGGGGCGGGGGGTTTGAACCGCCGCCCCCCCCCCATTTGGGCTGCCCCTCGGCGCCAGGGGGGCGGGGGGTTTGAACCGCCGCCCCCCCCCAATTTGGGCTGCCTCTGGTCATCGTCGCTGCGTCCCCGCCGTCGGCGCCGCTGGCGGCCGCTGGCGCCGGCGCAAGGGGGGGGAGGGGGTTCGAACCCCCCCCCCTTGGGAAGGGGGGGGATTCGGGAAGGGGGGGTTGGGGGGGATGGGAGACCTCCTGGCTTTGACCGACGGCGCCGAGTGTTGGGGGGGCCCACCCCCCGGTTCGAAAAAAAAACGCCGAATGTTCCCAAGGCAAGCGCCCGTGAAACGCGTTTTGTCATGTTCTTTGGAAGGCCATGTTACAAAACCGCGCGTTTTATTATGTTTGAATCCCGTGCGACACCGAGTGTGTGTTTGAAGGATTTCTTCATGCGCGCACGAGGACGCGCGCGTGTGCACGTATTGTTGGCAAACTATGATTTGAATCTACGAGTGCTTGCGCATCGTATTCTGTTGCGCAGGATGGTGCGGGCGGAAGGGGGAATGTAGGATTTAACGCTGTTGGGGTGGTGTGAGTCCACATTGAAAAAGAATGATGGGGCCTAATCGTGCGTAAATTGAGCATCGCCCGTGGGATTCGATTGTCCCCGCCTCGGGGGGGCACAGCTTATCCGTGCGAGGAGGCGACCGGGCGGCGACGGCGACAACATATCCGCCAGACCGCCCCACTGGCAGAGACGACGGGCAGCGACGAAGCGGCGACGGGGCGGCGACGGCGACAACATTGCCGCTAGACCGCCACACCAGCCCAGTTCCTCAGAGGAGAAGCAAGCAACCCTAAGTCAAAACACTGCTTGGGGAATATTCTGGATTGGAAATTCAATCCCGGGCCCGCCGTGTGAAACATTTTTTTGGAAAGATTGGCAGGCCAGTTCGTTGTTGGCGGTCTGGTTGGTTGCCCAGTTGGCAGGTTAGTTGTTTCATTGGTTGGTCGATTGGTTGGCTGGTTGGTTGGTTGGTTGGTTGTTTGGCAAGTCGCATGCCCACCCAGCAAGATCGAATCATCATATCTATCCCACGTTTAGCCACACATTGAAGCGCACGCGTCAACGCGCGGGGTCCCAGCCCTGCGTCCGGCGTGCATGTTCTGAGGGTTTGAAAGATACCCGACCGCCGCAAACCGTACGACGTGTCGCGCCAGGGAGGGCCGGCAGGGGGCGACCTTGGAGAGACGAACCCATACCAACCCACATTTTTTCCAAATGGCGACGCTGGCGCAGGGGCATGACGACTGGGGGTAGGCATGGTCCGTGAGACGGCTTGCCCACGCCAACCGCTTGCCGTCCTGCCCCCAGGGATTCTGGGTGAGAGCCGGCGTCTGACAACGCATGTCCGCGCACGTCCCTCACACGCATCGGAATGGCATAGGCCTGGAAAGGTTTTCTTGAGTCCCGAATACTTGATTTTCTGATCCCAAGAACTGTTTGGCATTCTTCATTAAATTCTAGTTGCCATCGAAATAACTAAATTCTAGTTGCCATCGAAATAACAATACTTTAAAGCCTGAGTCCAAAACCCCTCCCCCCCACCCCTCCCCCCCTTCCCTAACTCCCGACCTCTCTCCCTCTCGGGAGTTACACTTGCAGATGCCCAACTCGAGGCAGACTGGCCGATGCTCAGCGCAGCGGGGATGTGGTTTGAGGGGCAGGGTGTCAGACGCGGCGCGAGCGCCCCTGATTTGCCCTTTTCCCTTCCCCCATGGTACAGTGGACCCTGCGCTCCATGCAGGGGGGGGAGGGATGATGAGGATGATGCTGCTGATGATGATGATGATGATGATGATGATGATGATGGTGATGGTGATGGTGATGGTGATGGTGATGGTGATGGTGATGGTGACGATGATGTTGATGATGCGGATGATGCTGATACTGATGATGAAGAAACATAATACTATGATGCTGATGATTGTGGTGATGATGGTGATGATGGTGATGCTGATCTTGATGATAATGATGCTGATGATACTGATGATGACGGTCATGAAGGCGATGATGTTGATCATGATGGTTTTGATGATCGTGATGATGCTGACGATGACGGTGATGAGGATGGTGATGTTGATGATCTTGGTGATGCTCATCATGAGAATGATGATGATGATGATGATGGTGATGATGATGCGGCTGCTAATGATCATACTATCAACAACGATGGTGATGCTGACGACGGTAACGATGGTCATGATGATAATGATGATGACGATGATGATGCTGATGATGCTGCTGATGCTGATGATGATGATTTTGATGACGATGGTGATGCTGATGCTGAATATGGCGGTGATGCTGATGCTGATGATAATGCGGCTTATGATGATGATGATGCTGATGATGATGACGATACTGCTGCTGATGATGATGTCGATGTTATTATGATGATTCTGCTGATGATGGTGATGGCGGTGATGGCAATGACGAGGGTACCGATAATGTTGATGATCATGCTGCTGATGCTGATTACGATGCTGATGATGATGGTGCTGCTGCTCATGCTGATGATGATGATGATGATGATGATGATGGTGCTGATGATGCTGTTGATGGAGATGATTATGATGCCGCGGATGATGATGATTATGATGTTGATGCTGCTGACGACGATGCGGATGATGATGCTGATGCTGATGATCATGCTGATGCTGATTACGATGCTGCTGCTGATGATGATGACGATGATGCTGATGGTAATATGATGCTGATGATGCTGATGGAGATGATGCAGCTGATGATGCAGATGCGGCTGCTGATGATGCTGCTGATGATGATGCTGATGATGCTTGGTGTCGCGATGATGGTGATCATGGTGATGATGCTGATGATGATGATGAAGAAGTTGATCATGATGATGATGATGATGATGATGATGATGATGGGGCTGATGATGATGCTGACGATGACAATGATCATGACAATGACGATGTTGCTGCTGCTGCTGATGATAATGAGGACGATGATCATGATGTGGGTGAGGATGAGGATGCTGTTGAGGATGTTGATGATGATGCTGCTGATGATGATGATGATGATGATGATGATGATGATGATGATGCTGATGAGGAGGAGGAGGAGGAGGAGGAGGAGGAAGAGGAGGAGGAGGAGGAGGAGGAGGAGTAGGAGGATGGTACTGATGGTGATGATGAGGCGGAAGAGGAGATCACAGTTGAACGGAGGGCGAGGATGGCGCGGCTGCTCATCGCGACTATGTGCGGATGAGACGGCTGCTCGTCAAGTTTTCTGGTGCGCGGGGGCGTCTAAAGGGCGCCCCTGCGCGCGCGGGCGCCACCCGAGGCCTCCAGGGGCGCGGCCCGCCCGAGGCCTCCCAGAGGGCCCGCCCGGGGGCCCCCCCGAGGCGCGCCGCGCGCGCCCGGAGGGCGCCGCGCCCCGCGCGCGGCGCACGAGACTCCGCGCTCGGAGAGCGCCGCTCCGCGCGTGCCGCGCGCTCAAACGCGCGCGCGCGGCCTCGTGCCTTGGCGACGTGGGGTGGCTTGGCATCGCTCGGACGTGTGCATTTCTCGTTCGGCGAGGACCATCTAGGAGCATCCTTGATCATTTGGCGAAAAAACAGACACACGAAACCGAAAAAAAAACAGGAAATGGACGTCCGAGCGATGGCCAGGGGGGGGGCGCATAGAGGCCCAAGCAGACGCCGAGCCGCGCCTCCAGGAGGGAGGGGTGTGGGGTGGGACAAGCTAGGTGCGCTCGCGTCATATCTGACATCCTACCCCTCCCTCCCATCCCTTACCATGGCGCAGATCCCCTCTCTACTCGCACAGTCGGATGTCAAGCAGGGCGATGATCCCGAAAGGGTACGCGATGCATTGTGGAGCACGGCATGGCATGGCATAGAAGAGCACCGCGAAGAGTAGTATCAACCTAGCATTTCATTGCATGCCGTGGCATGGCACGGGAAATGACGCCAGCGCTGCAGCGGGAGCATGAGTCGAAACGAGCGGAAGCGCCAAAATGAGGCCAGCGCTGCAGCGGGAGCGCGATTCGGAACGAGCGGAAACACGGAAATGAGGCCAGCGCTGCAGCGAGAGCACGATTCGGAACGAGCGGGGCCCGAAAATGAGGCCGGCGCCTCAGCGAGAGCAGCATTTTGGGAAACTGCAGGCGAAAATCTAACTCCGGGGAAGGCAGAAATTCAGCATTTTCAAAGGAAAAATTGTATTGGAATGGCCTTTTTTTTCGGCGCCGCCTCGGAACTCGATTTTCCGGCGCCGGCCGGAACCGGCTCAGGACCCGGCCCGGGCGCCGGCCCGGGCGCCGGCTCGGGCGTCCAGCCCGGGCGCTGGCTCGGATGTCGGCCTGGGCGTCGGAATCGGCCCGGGAGGCCTCCCGGGCGCCGGAAGCAGAAATTCAGCATTTCCAACAGAAAAATTATCCCGGCAAAGCAACCTAACAGCGATGTGTAGAAGCATATCTGGAAGCATTTCCCTTAAGATTCACTTGAGAATCCAGTTGTAGAATTCTGCTGTTATCGCAGTCGCAGTCGCATTCGCGATGACAGTGGCAGCGGCAGTGGCAGTCGCAGTCACAGCCTCAGCCTCAGCCTGCATCAGCCTCAGCCTGCCTCAGCCTCAGCCTCAGCCTGCCTCAGCCTCAGCCTCAGCTTGCTTCAGCCTCGGCCTCGGTCTGCCTTCAGCCTCGGCCTCAGCCTCAGTCTGCGTCAGCCTCAGCCTGCATCAGCCTCAGCCTCAGCCTCAGCGTGCCTCAGTCTCAGCCTGCCTCAGCCTCAGCCTCAGCCTCAGCCTCAGCCTCAGCCTCAGCCTGCTTCAGCCTCAGCCTTAGTCTGCCTTCAGCCTCGGCCTCAGCCTCAGCCTGCCTCAGCCTCAGCCTGCATCAGCCTCAGCCTCAGCCTCAGCCTCAGCCTGCGTCAGCATCAGCCTCAGCCTCAGCCTCAGCCTCAGCCTCAGCCTCAGCCTCAGCCTCAGCCTCAGCCTCAGCCTCAGCCTGCTTCAGCCTCAGCCTCAGTCTGCCTTCAGCTTCAGCCTCAGCCTTCAGCCTCGGCCTCAGCCTCGGCCTCAGCCTCAGCCTGCATCAGCGTCTGCCTCAGCCTGCCTCAGCCTCAGCCTCAGCCTCAGCCTGCCTCAGCCTCAGCCTCAGCCTCAGCCTCAGCCTGCCTCGGCCTCAGCCTGCCTCAGCCTCAGCCTCAGCCTGCCGCAGCATCAGCATGCCTTAGCCTCAGCCTCAGCCTGCCTCAGCCTCAGCCTCAGCCTGCTTCAGCCTCAGCTTCAGCCTGCCTCAGCCTCAGCCTCAGCCTGCCTCAGTCTCAGCCGCAGCCTGCTTCAGCCTCAGCCTCAGCCTCGGCCTCGGCCTCGGCCTCGGCCTCAGCCTCAGCATGCGTCAGCTTCAGCTTGCATCAGCCTCAGCCTCAGCCTCAGCCTGCCTCAGCCTCAGCCTACTTCAGCCTCAGCTTCAGCCTGCCTCAGCCTCAGCCTCAGCCTGCTTCAGCCTCAGCCTCAGCCTGCCTTCAGTCTCGGCCTCAGCCTGCCTCAGCCTCAGCTTGCATCAGCCTCAGCCTCAGCCTCAGCCTGCCCTAGCATTAGCCTGCCTCAGACTCAGCCTCAGCCTCAGCCTCAGCCTCAGCCTCAGCCTCAGCCTCAGCCTCAGCCTCAGCCTGCTTCAGCCTCAGCCTCAGTCTGCCTTCAGCCTCGGCCTCAGCCTCAGCCTGCCGCAGCATCAGCATGCCTTAGCCTCAGCCTCAGCCTGCATCAGCATTCAAAATGTGGCCCGGGAGTGGAGTTCTGGGAATTCGAAGAAGACGAAGTGGCCTACAGTTGGCTCCGGGCATTGAAAATCATGCTCAGGAATGGAGTTCTGGGAACTCGAAGACCACGAAGTGGCCTACAGTTGGCTCCGGGCATTCTACATCATGCCCAGAAATGGAATTCTGGGAACTCGAAGAAGACGAAGTGGCCTACAGTTGGCTCCGGGCGTTCAAAATCATGCCCAGGAATGGAATTTTTGGAATTCGAAGAAGACGAAGTGGCGTACAGTTGGTTCCGGGCATTCAAAATCAGTCCAGGAATGGAGGTCTGGGAATTCGAAGACCACGAAGTGCGTTACTGTTGGCTAGAACAGACGTCCCCAGTTTTCCGCGGCACCCGCCCGGATCCCGCCCAGACCCCCCGGGGAGTCTCTCTTTAGTCTTCGCTGTCAGGTAATGTGTCTTAGAATGGCCTTTTTTCTGCGCCGCCTCGGAACTCGATTTTCCGGCGCCGGCCGGAACCGGCTCCGGACCCAGCCCGGGCGCCGGCCCGGGCGCCGGCTCGGGCGGCGTGCAGCCCGGGCGCCGGCGGAAATGATGCCAGCGCTGCAGCGGGAGCACGATTCGGAACGAGCGGGGCCCGAAAATGACGCCGGCGCCTCAGCGAGAGCAGCATTTCGGAAAAAAATGCAGGCGAAAACCCAACTCCGGGGAAACCTGTGTGTAAGAAAACGGTACGCGGGGGGGGGCGAATATTCCAAAGACGTCATCAGGGGAAGAGGGATAATAGTATTCATATTGAATAACTGTAGAGAGCGAGGGGGTGGTCGGATGGGGGGGGAGAGGGAGAGGTAGAGGGAGAGGGAGAGGGAGCGGGAGAGGGAAGGAGGGAGGGAGGTTGGAATCCACTGCCCCTCTGTTGTGAGGCCGTTGTATAGGAGAGGGAACAGAGGACAGAGTGTTTACACAGTTTTGAGGAATTAGTGAATTCAGTATGGGTCCGGCTTGAAGTGCCTCGAAGAAAGCGCGCGCACCCGAATCGCAGACATATGGCTATATGCGGACCCAGGATACTTTGCTTCCCGTCGTCGTCCTCGCCCTTGCTCCGTTCCCTTTCATTTCCTCCCCCCCCTGGATGGTGTCGAAAGCGTCCGCGGCTCGGGCGGGGGAGCGCCCCTTCCCACCTCCCTCATTGTTCCTCGTTCCTCTTTGCCTCCCTGCTTCACCATCCGTCGTCCTACCTCGCCAACCCTCCTTGTTCGAAAAGTGAAGTCCCTGGCGCCGCGTGCCCGCGTCAGCGGTACATGCTTTTTCGATATCCGAGCACAGCGGCGCAACCAAACAGAGGGGATTGCCAATGCGAGAGTTCGGGGCGCGCCCAAAATGCGGGCGGCACGGCCGCCGAACACAGTCGCATCGCTAACATGTAGATTATAGGTGCCTGCGGCATGGTCCGCCCCCCTCGCCAGAGCAGTGATCTATATGGCGACGCGTGGAGCTTTGACTTGTTAAGAGGTCCTTGGCATGTGACATCTCTCGTGTTTTCGGATTGCTGCGCGGCATTTTTTGGGGTCCTTCGAGGCCTTTTGGGACGTCTTCGGGCCGTTGGGGGCCGCTTTGGCGCCGCGTTGCACCGCGGCCGCCCTGGGCCGGGGAAGCGTGTATTTGCGGCTTTCTCGGGGGCGCTTTGGGCCGGGGAAGTGTGTATTTGCATCCCCCCCAGCTGGGCATGTCAACCTCGGTTCTGGGTTGGCAAAGTCGGGGCGCCCTCGAGGTGGCGAGCGTTCACGTTTTCGAAATACACAGATCAAGGTGTGATCTGTGTACACACTTTGTGTCTTCAGCTGTGTATTTTCGTGTGTGGGCCCGCTGTTTGCACAGATCGTGGTGTGATCTGTGTGCACAGATCTCGTTCCCATCTGTGTATTTGGAGTGTGCCCCTCGCGGGCGGTGTTGAATGGGCGGGAACTTTCGCGTTTCTCTTCCGGCTGGTCCAGGGGCGGCGTCGTGCGCGGTCGTAATACACAGCTCGTGTCTCCAACTGTGCATTTGTTGCGCGCCTCTCGCTGGAGTGGTCACTGGGCGGGAGTTTCCGCGGGTCTCCTGGCTGGTCCAGGATGGGGCCGTGGTCTGGGCATGCAAAGGCGCGGGGGGGTGGGGATGGTGGGCTGTGGGAAGGAAGGGGTTCGATAGGAGGGGTGGCCGAGGGGCCAAGGATGAACGGGACTGGACGAGAGCGGAGGAAGAGAGCCCAGGAGGATCTGCGCCATCGGCGTCAGCATCACGAGGGCGAGGGAGGTGGGGGGGGGCAGAAGTTGGGGGCATGATGTGCAGTAGGGCGTAGAGGATGGGAGGAGGGCAGGCATGTGGACGATGGGGGGGCGAATCCAGTTCAGGAGGACGACGAGGAACGACGTGAATTGACACATGGGGGGGGGGCAGTGTGGATGAAGGGCATGATGAGGACCGGGGCAATCGGAGGGGCATGAGGAGGGTGGGGCCGCAGCGAATGGATATTTGGAAAAAAGCGGGGGATGGGGCATGAGTTCGAGGCGGGCGCCAGCTAGCGATTAGTTGAACAGTGTTTTGCGTGTCCGCGCCCCCCCAGAGCATAGTGATTGGTTGCAGAACTTCATGATATGGGTAATCGTGCGCTTCGTGCTTCCAGGCCAAAGGCTCGAGTCCGCGACGCCCCTTGGCGTCGCGATGATGCCGCCCCGATCTGCCAGA